AGCGCGTTATTTTATCCTCGTCGGATGTATGCGGACCGATAGGTCAGTGCGTTTGTTTAGGACGGCTAGCGTGCTCGACGGGGCCAATCGCCGAGCGTTCGTGTTTTTATAGTCGCGGACGGACTTTTGGGGAAATATTTTTCTTCAAGGATTTAGGCGACGTCTCGCCCGTTCTTTCCGAAAATATTTTGATATGCAAATTTTTATAAAAATGATTGAGTAGTTGTTACTGCGGAAGCGATCTTCCGGATTTGCGTTTTTTGATGGTAGCAGAGATATTCTAACTTTGTCTTTATTAAAAATTTCGAAAATTTTTCGATTACAAAGCTAAAAGAAATTTTAAAAAATTTCGGGAGTATACGAATACTCGTATACTCACCCACTCCCCCCCCCCCCCCCCCCCCCCCCCCCCCCCCGCTTTGGAAGGGGGGATAGCTGAACTCGTCTTTAGGCGAGCTGCCTACGTATTCCTTTCGGAAATCAACCCATCTCGTAGTTCTGATTGTTTGCGCGAGTGTGCTTATTCGGCTGTCGTAGACTTCTCGATCGCTTCAGTCGCGGGATCGATGTCTTTGTCCGGGATTGTCTCCTCCGGTTGGGCGGAAGCGATGGGTGCGGAAACTTCTGGTTTCTCGGCCGTTGCTTGCTTCGGGTCGTCGTCTGCGGGCGGTGGCGTGACCTTTGCCCGTTTTGGTTTCACGATCGCGACCGCCATTTGCCTCAGCTTATGTTCGGCCAGGAAGCAAGATCGCGATTGTCTTTGGCATCCCCAAATTACTGCGACTCCCGTAGGCGTCGGGAATTTGATGCCTAAATGATACGTGGACAGAACCGCCTTCATGGAATTTATCCAAGGCGTGCCCATAATCACGTTGTAGATAGTCGGGAAATTGACTACCGCGAAGTTAACGATTTTCGTCACTTCTTTCGCGACGACCGGTAGTCGGATTGATCCCAGGGTCATTGACGTTTCGCCAGAGAAACTAGTCAGCGGTTTTGGGATCGGCTCGACTTCCGAGAGGTCGATTCCCATTCGTGCTAGCGTGTTGCGGAAGATGACGTTGACCGTGCTTCCGGTAACCAGGATTCGAGCAACCTCTAGATCGCTTATCACCAAATCGATGACAAGGGGATCGGCATGCGGTTGGTCAATTCCACCGGTTTCAGCATCGTTGAAAGAGATTACTCCTGTCGGAGAATCGTCCATCTGCACCTTCCAACTCGAGCCGGTTTCGGCTTTACGTTGGTAGAATTTTATTGATGAGACGGTGTCGTTAAAGTATGGCGATTCGCCGATGATCATGTTGATTTTTCGGCGGTTAGCATCATTACCCTTCTCGTCTGCTCTTCGTTCGCGTTTTTCGCCCGACTGATTTCCCCGAGGCGGAGTTTGCGCGTTTTTGTCATTCTTCGGGACGCGGTCCGAATCGCGGATGAGATCCTTGACACTAGATATCTCGGAAAGTTCTCCCGCGACTAACTTTGCGGTCAGTTTGGCGCCGAGAACTTTGCAGTTCACGGTGGAATGACCATGGGTTTGGTGGAGGTCGCTGAAAGAATTCTCGTCGAAATTCGAATTTCTCGTCCACGTGTTACCTGTAGTTCGCCCTTGCTCTGAACCGGAGTTGATAGCGTAGTTATGCGCCCCTGGGAGATCATGTCCCTCGTGATGGACGAATTTGTCGTTACGAGAGCTTTTCTTTTTCTGCTTCTGCTCGGACGCGTTATCCTTCGCGGATGTTTTCGTCGGCTTATGCTTCTCGGACAGGATTTTAGTTTCCTCTTCGATGGTTATGAATTCGGTGGCCTTATGGAGCGCATCCTGGATCGTCCGCGGTTTCTCGAGAGTTATCCATTTGCGGAACTTCGATTTATACCAGAGAGATTTCCTTAACGCGTCGATGGCGGCTTTGTCGCTAATCCCGCTAACCCTAGCCATGACGAGTTTGAATCTACTCATGAAATCGCGGAGAGATTCGTCTACCTCGTGCACCAAGCTCCAGAGATCGGCGTCGGAGGTTTCCGGGTTAGTGAACATCGAATACTGCTTTAGGAACTCCGAAGCCAGTCGACGGAAACTTTCGATCGAATTTCGCCTAAGTTTGGCGAACCATTCGAGCGCGGCTCCTTCTAGGTTTTCGACGAAGAGGCGGCAGTAACCTGCGTCTTTTTCGTGGTCCTTGAGCTTGGCTCGTCCCATGGTGATCTGGAACGCTTGCAAGTGCGCTTTGGGATCGGACGTCCCGTCGTAAGTTGGCACCTTAAGCTTTCCGAGATCGGGCAATTTGATCTCGGTGATACGGGCCGTGAAAGGCGTTTTCCGAGACTCGTACAAAAGCCGATCGACCTCGGGTGCGGCGCTGGTCGCGTGATGAATCTGAGATTTCACCGCTTTTACCGCTGCGGCCGTTTTGGTAATGTATTCGCGGAGATCGCGAATCTCGGTCTGATCGCCAGCAGTTTTCTGACCTCGTCGGCGTTTGCTGCGAGTGGCCGGAGATCGCTCCTCAGCGGTTTTTGCATATCGTGCGAAGTCGAGTTCCCCTTCGTCTCCAGCAAAGGAACGTTCGGGAAGAGACTCCGGTTGAGGACTGCGAGTTTTTCTTCTCCTAGGATGGACGTCGGCGTCTTCGTCTGTCGAGTCGGCCTGGTCGCTCGTTTCCAGGTTGACCCTTTCGATGTCGTCGCCTTCGGTCTCCTGTTAGCGAATAGGAGATTTTTCCGATTCGTTCAGCGTCGTGTCAGGGTTTTCTTTTTCGGAATCCTTTTCCTGTATGTTTCCCTGATCGATTCTGGGATGATCCGTAGGAGCGCCGAAATCGAGTCTCCTTCCGCGGATCTTGGTAGTTCCGCGGGGGCGAATCGCTTTGGTTCTCGCAGTTAGGGTTTCGAGCCGTTTTGCGAGCGAACCAATGAGCTTTTTCTGCTCTTCCGATTTTTTGTTAAACTCGGAAAGCATCTTTTCGACGGTCTCGGCGTTAGCGTTCGTAGCGTTGGC